ACCGACCAAAAAACACAACCTGCTGGAACTTTGTTTTAAACAAATTTTTTGTTTCTTCACATTTTTGGGGTTTTTTTTTTTTTATTTGTATAAATAAAAAATTTATGGGCCTAAAAAAAATTTAGGGATAACAGCCAACCAAAAGAAAATTGTTGAGAAAAAATTTATTTCGGGACTTGAACAGATCAGCACTCGAACAGTCTTCTGGAATGAAATTTTAAATTCGAGTACTAAAATTTTCCCCTGTATATATTTGTGAAAGGTGTTTATCTCAGTGTATACACAGAATGTTTATGCTAATCCCCATTTTTAAAAAAGTAAAACCCTTTCTTTGGGTTGGGTTTAAAAAAATTAAAATTTTCTGCTTTTTAAAAACTCCTATTAATCCCAAAGACTTTAAACCCCCGTTAAAAACCAAAACCCAAATGGGTTTAGGAATGTTTTGTTTTTTAGTGATTTAAAATTGTAGTGACTCTAGAATTTTTTCCTTAGGGTTCCGAGGAGAGGGTTGTGGAGGGGGGATGCACAGTATTTTTTTAAAAAAAACCGGGGTAAGAAAGGGCCCCAGAATCCCCGGGGAAGCTGTCAATGCCCGGAAGAACCCTACCAGGAAACCTTTAGTAAGGGGAGGGTAAATTCCCGTCTCTAGGTTCCTGGGGGGAACTAGCAAATTCACAAACCCCCCAGTAGGCAAAAAACCGAGGCCAGAGAACATGAAGGATAGGGGGGAAAAACCACTTTTAGAGGTAAAGGAAAATTTAAAAAAAGCTAAAACGTGGCCCCCACTATCAAGAGAATGAGGAGTCCGGATATTCAAGAAACTCCAAAGAAATTTGATTTTTCCGATAAGAATCTGCTGTTTATTTTGTATAATTTTCTTTGTCAAATTTTAGCTAGGCATCCAGGGGTTAAAGGGCCCAATGATCCAAATGTTACTTTTGCCAAAAATAATCTTCCCAAAGCAAGCTGAACATTGGGTTGGCAGTTTTGAAAATAAACCCAATTTTTAAAAACCCGGAATTTTTTTCTACACAAGGGGGAGATTTTTTTAATTTTAAAAAAAATTTTTAAACATGGAAAAATCAAAAAATAGCAGGAACCCCAAAAAAATTTTTTCCCTTTCCCCCCCCCCACCCCCCCCCCAAAAAAAATAAGAATTACGTCATCAAAATTAGATGCCGTGTGAACCAGCCCAAATAGGCAAACTGTATGAAAAATTTTTTTAAGAAAGTTTTTTTGGTTCTTGTTATAAATTTTTTTACATGGGAAAAGAAACTTGTGGAAAAATTTAAAAAGGGAAAGCAAGGGAAAATAAAGGGTTTAGTGAAGCCTTAGTTTTTGTTTGTAGAAAATTTACATGTCTTGGTCTGACATGGGTGGTAAATTTGTCAAGCTGTCGAGTAGACAATGTTGACCCCTTTTTTTCGGCCCTATCCAGGGTTTAAAAATGTAACACATCATAGGGGCTGTTTTTTGAGCTTTCAGCTCATCTGTTTTTAAGCCGCTTTTTTAAAACACGTCAAAAGTATTTTTGGGGGAAAATTCGGGCCCCATTTATTTTTAAGGGTTGCCCAAAAAACTTGCCTCTTCCAAGGGAAAAAGGTTTTTAAAAATAATTTTGCAAATTCTGAGATTTGTTTTTGGGATATATGTAAATAAATATCAATTTGATCAATTTTTTAAAAAAGGTTTTGGGTTTAAAAATCCTTTGGGGACCCCTTTACTTAGGATGGTTCAACTTACGAAAAATTTTGACTTTACGAAGGGGCGATTTAAGATGAAATATACCCCAATGAAGGCAACATGTATTTATTTATTTTTCAATACGGGGTTATTTATTAGGGTTTCAGTAATTAAATTTTTTTATTTACATTCAGTGACCAGTATTTAAATTTTTTACTTTTTCGTGATAGTAAAATTTTTTATTTATTTACTTGTTAAAATTTTTTTTATTATTTTTTTACTTATTTATTTACTTATTTTTTTTACCTATTTTAAAATTTTTTTTATTTTTTTATTTATATCTCATTCCCAAAAAGGGGTGGGGTTTTAGGGAACGTAACCCCTTTTTAAAATTGAAGGGGGCACCGTATTGTTGGAAAAGTAAAGTAAAAACTGGCAAAAAAAAATTTTTCCAAAAAAAAAACTTGATTTGGTTTTCTTCCCGATGGGACAAAAACTTTGGCCAAATCCAAAATTTTCCATGAACTAAAAAAAACTTCAGTTGGGTTTTGAAACATGCATTGTAAAGTGCCCTCTTTTCAAAACACGTCTGTTTTTTAAAATTTTTAAAATTTTTAAATGGAACGTTTACTGTGTGGGCCCCTTGACACATTTTTTCAATTAGATTTTGGGGTTCAACACATACTTTAATGGGCCCTTTTTAAATACTGTTTTAAAAATAAAAAAATGATGGGGCCCTTTTTATTGGGTTCCCAAATTTTTGGGAAAAGGGTAAAGGGTGTTTAAAGGGTGAATGTAAATTATGTTTAAAAAGGGAAAAAGCTTGGCCCGGGCTTTTGGGTTTTTTTCCCTTTCCCTTTTATGTAATGACACGTCTGTACACATCTGAAATATTTTGTTTGTGTTTGTGTGGTTGTGTATGGTATGTTTTATGTGTTTTATTTAATTATATATATATATATATATATAAATAAAATTTTATATATATATAATATATATATATATATATAAAATATATAAATAATATAATTTTAAAAAATATTATAATATATATATTTTATAAAAATTTACATATATATATATTTTATATATAAAAAATTATTATTAAAAAATTTTATTTTTATTTTATATAATAAAATTTATTTAAAATTTTTTAAAATTAGGAACCCCAATTTAAGAAAAAATTTTTTAAAAAATTTTAAAATTGGGAAAATATACAAAAAAAAAAACCCCTCCACACCCATTTTTTTTTTAAAACACCCCCACAAACCCCACCCTTTTGTAACCCCAAAAAAAGCCAAAGGTCTAAAAACTTTTACTTAAAACCCGTTTTTTTAAACCCTTCCAAAGCTTTTGTTAAAAAAATAAAAACCCAAACCCCTTTTAAAAATTTCCCTTCCAATTTTAAATTTAAAAAAAACAGGGAAAAAGAGAAAACCCCCGGGAAAACAAACAAACCTTTAAAAATTTAAAAACCCGGGTTAAACATTTTTTTTTTTAAAAATTTTTTGGAACGAATGAGGGAAAGGGAAATAACTCTGAAGTGTCCCGTTCGCAGATACGGAAAGTTGTGAAAGAATTAAATCAGGAGGATGAGGCGGATGCAAAGAGACCTGGACAGGCTGGACATGTGGCCCAGAAACTGGCTTTCGAATTAACCCAGCCAAATGCAAATCATGAAGATTGGGGAGGGGAAAAGAAGACGCAGACAGAGTAAGGTAGGTGGACAAAGATACAGACCTCATCAGGGAGAAAGACCTTGGGGGACCATAACACCAAGTGCATCCCCGGAGGCACACATAAACCAAATAACCGCTGCAGATACGGGGCCGGCAAACCTGAGAATAGCGTTCCGAACCTTAAAAAGGGAATCTTCAAGACACCGTACACTGGTATGTTAGGCCCATATGGAGTTGGAGCCCCAGTCGGGAAACCCCAACCCCTGGTCAAGCACGTAAAGAAGTTAGAGAAAGTACAAAGGTTTGCAACAAGGCTAGTCCCAGAGCTAAGGGGAATGTCGTATGGGGAAAAAGGTTAGGGAAATCGGACTGACAATGGAGGACAGAAGGGTCAGGGGGGACATATAACGACATAAAGATACTGGGGGGAAATGACGAGGGGACAGAGATAGGATGTTCCAAGAGGGGAACGGGACAAGGGGTCAAAAAGGAAGCTGAAGACCAGACGGTCACAGGGGCGTTAGGAATATTTCTTCATCATAGGTTGTCAGCAAGTGGGAAAAGCCCCAGCAAGTGAAGTGTAGGAGGAACCTACATAGTTTTAAGAAAAGGTAGACAAAAAGTAGGGAAACAGAGAGAGAGAGGATCCAGTAGCGATCAGTGAAGAGGCGGGGGCCCGGGGGCTAGTCTCGACCCCCCAACCACAATTGGTGAGTACAATTAGGTATACCCACACCACAGCACAGCAAACACACACACACACCCCACACACCACACACACACACACACACACAAACACACACACAACACACACACACACACCACACACACACATCACAATCACCTATTTTATACTCTCGCCTTTTTACTCTGCCGTTTCTTTTTGTTTTTTTCTTGTTCAATGGCTCCCTTTAATAATGTACTTTTAAAACTTCGGAAGTTTAGAAAATAAATTTTCCCTTTCTACGGAAGAAGAGTGACTGAAGTCTGTCTCTCCACAGGCCTCCATTGGCACAAGAGAGCTATTAAACAGCTAACCCGATAAGACTCGCATGCCAAGACAGTTTCGAAACTGCACCGGAGGATTATCTATGATGAAGCGGGAAGGTTTGTGATGACTACTACAGATGGTATTATGATGAGCGGTGGGATAAAGACCGTATGATTCACGAGTGAGGGATGTTGGCATTAATTTTTCCTATACGTGCTCAAACAGGTGAGATCACAAAGGGACTTGGCTCAAAAATTATGTTTTTTTTTTTTTGAGGCAATGTTTTTTCTAGCTTAGGCATGTATTCCTTTATTATTTAAAATGCATTTTTAATTAGATTCAATGAGAGGAAGAAAACAACTTTGTCCTAAAAACTAAGAGTAGCAAGCTTGCATTGTCTTTCGTGTAGCCCCTATGAAAACCCTTGTAAAAAATCCCTTTAAATCGTCTGTCCCCTTTTAATCACCTCCCCAGGACTAGTTTTTGTAGTAAATTGCATTAAATAGACCCTGAAATAAGGCATCAAAAAGGCCATGAAAGGTTTAAGGCTCAAAACCCCCACTTAAGGTAGATGCTGCAAATTAAGCCTCTGTAACCAAAAGGGGCCATACTATGAAGCGATTATAGGGGATATGACCGCCGTCTCGGTACTATGAGGATGACGACTACTACAGAGATTCCTTCGAAAATGATGACGTCTCAAGCATTGTGGATACTGAGCGAGGCCTTCCTCGGTACCCATCACAGGTGAGAGGCAATGCAATGTCATCGCCACCAGTACTACTACTGCCTCCTAACACCATCTTGCTTTTATGCTATACATCAACTAATATCATTTTTCCTCTTTTCACTTAAATTTTGAGTCCAGTTGGAGCCATCAACAAGATTGCAGGTGGGTTCTAATTTGCTCTGATAGCATATATTTGCTTAAGACTAACCTATAAAACTTCAGGTATGTAATAATAACATTAAAAATTAAATACTGTGTTTGCAAGAAAAACATTAGGTCTTTACTAGATTCTAGGGTAGAAACTCAATGGAAAACATTATCAGCTGTCTGTCAATATAATCCAAAGTATATTAACTTTAGGATGAAGTGAAGTGTAACACAGAATTTAATCTGACAAATATACTACATTAACTTGAAGCTAGCATTGGATTTGAACTAATTAGAAAGTCACTGTGCCAGATAGTATTGTATCTATTTCTTTATTTATTTGAAGGTTAAGATAGGACCCCAAGGATAAGATAGGACCACAATGGAAATAAGTCACTCTGTCTGACTTTTTTGGGTTATCCTAGGTTCTCTACACATATGCTGCTATGTATGATAATCTATGTAACTGTATTTGTGTATACCTGAATAAACTTACTTACTTATAGTGAGTCTGTTTTGCTTTTAGCAGACAGAGTATTGAGCCTCCATGTTTACCTGTGTTGAATGACCCTATACAGGATTAGTGCACTTCAACTTTCTGCTTGCCATATTCACTTTCTCTGCCTCACAGATCCTCTCACAATTGTTCTTACAACTACGTATGGAGACAGCTCCACCGTTCTGCATGGTGATCATTCCACTTCCTGACCTCTCTGAGAATGGAGAAATACATCCTGACATCCATGTGGCTCATTTGTGTCTGTTACTTCCAGTTGTGTTCCTGAGTACCTGTTTCTCACATCTTAAACAGCCTGTCCCTGGTTACCCTTTCAGTTCCTCTTAGCATTTTGTTTGTTGTTTTCATGTCTTCCCTTGCTCTTCTGTCCTCCAATGTCATAGAATTCACTTCTGTTAACCTCTCCTTGTAGATCTGGTTAAACCAAGGGCTCTCTCTCTGTTTCTGCCATTTCCATACCTTCTGGTAGGAAGTTCTCATCTGCCTCCCAGCATTTTCCAGCTAGGTACTCCATATCACCTCATTTTCTGATTTTCTTCCAGTTCTCTATCCCACTGCTGCATGCAGGAATTCTTTCTTTTTATTAAAATACAGTACTGGGTTAACACATTCTGCCTCTCCCCATAAGTGATCAATTCTTAAGACAGAATCAAGGCAGTTGTGCACTCAACAGTTTGATATAACTAGGTATTCTAAATAAAAGTCTTTTCCTGCTACATAAGTATTTACCCCATTATAGCTAGGGTTTTAACATGTGGGGCTTACAACCCCATAACAATTCCCTTGAAGTTTCCTCTTCTAAAGTCTGATTTCTTGCACTGTTTGAATGCCGTTCTTCCCTCTGCCTTTAACCCCTTGACTGTCACAACCCCTAATCCTGAAGTATCTCCTGGCGTCGCAAAATTTAAAAAAAAAAAAAAAATTGATGGAAAACTGACGGAATTATGCTCGTGCAAAGTTAGCAACCTCAGCAATATTTACAAATTGGCGATTTTGCCCAATTTGAGCCCTATTTTTGGCTAATTCCATTGTTCCAGTCGACCAAAGTCATAACTATTTTTTTAGAAATCCATTTTTTCTATCGATTGAGTACAAGAAACTGCCCATTTACCGATTTCAACTACCCAGTAACGTGATCAGAAATTTGCAATTTGGCCAATTTCACGAAAATTAAAAAAATATGACAATTTCAAAATAAGGTCTAGAATGAACAATGCAGACATTCCTGGTTCTAAAATAACATTTTCTTTGTTCATCAGTCACGTCTCCAAGCCCCTCTGATATTACTCTTGCTTTCTATTTTGAATTTTTATTCAAACAAAAAATAGAAGATTTACTGTTATGCAGACTACTGCACTACTGTAATAATTGTATAAATAACATCATCCCATTCATGACTGCGTATTAGAATGGCTAGTTGGACATTTATTGGACAATAACATCATTTGTTTACTTTTGAACATCGGCAAAAATTAAATATTTCCCCTACTTTGAGCTCCATTTCCAGGTTCTTTTTATAGTAAAATCAATCAAAATCACCTCTATTCTATAATTTTTTCCATTCTATCAAATAAGACCAAGAAAACGAGAATACAACCATAAATACCATACGAAAATAGACCACAGAGTCGGCATTTTAATTAAAAAAAACGGTCGGAGTTTTTTTTCTCATGCACTGCATGCTCCAGGATTTTTTTTATATGGTGCACACTGACCACACAGACCCATTCCCTCACATGTGGGCCTACCAGCTTTCTCCTGCTTGATTTGAAGCCGCTAGAATTTATGAGTATATATACGTCAAACAGGGTACCTCGTAAGACGTATATATATGACCTTGACAGTCAAAGGGTCAATTCCACAAGGTACTTGAAGCTTAGGACTTTGTGTGTATGTATTCACTATATGTGGTTGTAGGGGTTGAGTCCTTGCTCCTGGCCCATCCTTTCCACTTGCAGCTTGTTAGATTCACTATCTTTTTTTTTTTTTTTTTTTTTTTTAACAAGTCGGCCATCTCCCACCGAGGCAGGGTGACCCAAAAAGAAAATACTTTCATCATCATTCAACTCTTTCACCTCACTCACACATAATCACTGTTTTTGCAGAGGTGCTCAGAACACAACAGCTTAGAAGCATATACGTATAAAGATACATAACATATCCTTCCAAACTGTCAGTATCCCGAACCCTTCCTTTAGAGTGCAGGCATTGTATTTCCCATTTCCAGGACTTAAGTACTCAGTGGTCAGTCGTCACGTGAGGTCACAGACCCTGAGCTGCTTTGGGGATTAGTGTGGACGGTTACAAAGCATGGCTTGCTTCTGCAGTGTTTTAAAAATTGAGGTTGGAGAGTTGAAGGAGGAGGTCTTGCTTCTCCAGGAGGAGATTAGGAGGCTGAAGGTCCACCTCAATGGGTCTGGGAGAGAGTGTGAGGTGGCTGGAGTTGTGGGGAATGAGGCTTCTAGCAGCGAGGTGCAGTCTGTCTCTCGCTGTGGGGAGGCTGTAGTTGGGGAGGCAGCAAGGGCTACCAGCAGTGAGGAGCAGCCCAGCCCCTGCTACAAGTGGCGAGTAGTTCACAGTAATGGAAGGAGCACAGAGTAAGGAAAGTTAAGAGTGAAGATCTGAAGGTAGGAAATCGCTTCTCTGTTCTTCGGGATGAATGTACTTCAGTGGCCAGTGAAGGTAAGGGTACTACTGCCCCTGCTAATGGAGGTAAGCCCCAATTCTTGTGGTTGGGGGACTCTCGGGTAAGATACATTGACCGTGCTTTTTGTAATAGGAATAAGAAGATGAGAGATAGATTGTGCTTCCCGGGAGCTGGTGTTGGGGACATTGTAAACAGGCTGGATAATATCATGCAGGTAATGGGAGCAACCCCATTATCTGTCTCAGTGCTGGTGGAAATGATATTGGGAAGGGTAGGAGAGAAGAGCTGCTAGATAAGTACAGGTCAGCTATAGATTTCATTAAGTCTAAGGGGGGGATCCCAATCATATGTAGCATCTTCCCTAGAAGGGGAGTAGGAAATAAATGGTTGTCTAGGGCAATTGGTGTAAATTGCTGGCTAGACAGATACTGCAAGGAACTTGCAATCCCATTCATTGACAACTGGAACAACTTTTATGGCAAACATGATATTTTATGCAAGGGAGGGGGTACATCTCTCTGGGGCTGGGGTGGTAGCACTTGCAGACTCGATTGAGAAGGCCATTGGTGAAATGCCTATGATTTTAAACTGATGGAAGATAGAGGTATGGGTGTGTGTGGGAAACAAGCAGGTTGCAACACTTGGGTTGGAAACAGTAAATGTATAAAAGGCATTCACATGAAGTTATAAATAAAGACAATAGATCAGGTCAGCAAACAAAGGGGGACAGCAGAGGGCAGCAAGGGGCTAGCTCCCTTAAGGTTTACTAACTAATAGCAGGAGTGTAAGAAATAAGATAGATGAGCTAAGATTAATTGCAAGTGCAGGAAACATAGATATTATTGCTATAACAGAGACCTGGCTCAATCTGAAAGATAGAGAGATGCCCTCTGAAAGTCACATACAAGGCTATAAATTATTCCACACTGACAGGGTCAACAAAGGAAAAGGGGGTGGAGTAGCGATTGTATGTCAGAGACAATTTAAATTGTTGTGTTAGACAAGATATTAAATTAGAAGCGTCAGCCACTGAATCTGTTTGGTTACAGCTTCTCGAGGGCCGAGAAAAACTAATTTTGGGTGTGATTTACAGGGCCCCAAATCTTGATAGGGAGTGCAGTAAACTTCTATGGGACGAAATTCGTAAAGGCACTACATACGAAAATGTTGTGCTAATGGGAGATTTCAACTATAGACAGATTGGACTGGAGCAATTTGACAGGAAATTTAGAGTCAGGTGACTTTCTTGATACGATCCAGGATTTTTTTTTAAAAACAGTTTGTGAAAAGAGCCCAAATAGGGGAAATAACCCCCTTGACTTGGTTCTTGCCAGTAGGGAAACACTAATTAATAATCTTGAGGTTAATGATGAGCTTGGGAAAGTGATCACAAATCACTCAGTTTTAATATATCATGGAATTCCCCTAATAATGGCAATAAAGTCTCCGTCCCTGACTTTCGCTTGGCTGATTTCATAGGACTGAAAAATTACTTAGGTGGGCTGAACGGGAAATGACCTGACTAAGGGTCAGGTAGGTGGTGATGGTTGCCGATATGATGTTTTCCCAGGGCATAGTTCTAGCTGCTCAGTCAAATTTAATGTTTCCAAATAGGGAAATCAGATAAAACAAAAATGATCCTAAATGGATGAACAAAGGATTAAAATATCTGTTTGGTCAAAAGAGAGGCATAAAATAGGCAAATC